TTGATTATTTTTGTAATTTTCAAAATTCGAAAGCCACCTAATTTTTGATGAGAGCTCTTAATTTTTTTTAATAAAAATGACAAATTAACATATTCGAAAAAAGTTTTTTTTTGCACCACCCTTACATATACTGATTTAAAGTGTTTTTATATTCGAATATTCGAATAATTTATAATCGATTCCCACCTCTATTTGAATACTCGAATATTCGAATTATTCGTAATCGATTCCCAGTAAGTAGCAAAAATTATATTAAAAAAAATAAAATTTATATAACGTCAAAATGGCAACCTAAAGCAAATATACAATTCGTTTGCTAAAATTTTCGAAGAAATCCGGAAAATTGTTTGGTGTTTTTTAAAGAATTGGGTTTCAAATTTTTTCTTTCAATTTTTGAAGTAGATAAGCAAAGCCGATTCTGGACCACTACTTCACATTTCGGCCGCATGGTGGCGCCACTAGCCGGGTTTCGCACCCATGACCATGTATGGATTGGCGGGAAATTCAAAATGGCCGCCCCGACCGCCAACCAATTGCAGAAATAATGATGGGCGGGGCATGTTGAATTCAAAATGGCCGCCCCGACCGCCAACCAATTGCAGAAATAATGATGGGCGGGGCATGTTGAATTCAAAATTGCCGCCGCCAACCAAATGCAGAAGTAAAGTACTGGGAAAAATTATGACTAGTGGGGTGGCGCCACTTGCCGGGCTAATTCTCAAGTGTAGATTGCACAATATTTCAAAATTTTAATTTATTCTGGCGCCACACTGACTGTGTTTTTCTCACACACGTTGAGACGCACTTCCCTTAGAGGCCCCATTGGGGGCCCCGTAACCTTACAAGATACTTCGAATTTTTTCCGCATGTGGCGCCACCTGCTGGAACTATACGTATACTACAGGGGCGTACAAAAATAGCTCGTACCAACTATTACGGGGGCGCACAAAATTACCTTAAAAATGACACGTGACAATATATGCAAATTTATTTAGGTACGTCGCAAAATTAATATATTCACAGTGGTGAGATGTAATTGCGGGGGTTCGGAAACGTTCGGAATTGATCGGATCGGATTGACATGACCTTGACATGACCTTGACATGACCTTGACATGACCTTGACATGACCTTGACATGACCTTGACATGACCTTGACATGACCTTGACATGACCTTGACATGACCTTGACATGACCTTGACATGACCTTGACATGACCTTGACATGACCTTGACATGACCTTGACATGACCTTGACATGACCTTGACATGACATTGACGTGAAAATGACAGGTGTCAAAATTTGCAGGTACGGCTATTACCACCCCGCCGCCCCTGCTAGTGTCGAACAAAATATTGCGCAATATTACGAAATACAAAATTATGACTCATGAAGACTGACGCCACCTTGGCGATGCATATTTTTATTATTTGCATATTTAATTAGGTAAATAAGTTTGCGGTGCCACATTGGCGGCACGTATTTTTATTATTTGAATATTTAATTGCATCTACTTATTCAAACGTAATTGTCGGAATTTTCTAGATCAAGTTTGTTTTTTTATTATTGTTAGCAGTGGTACATATTTATTATATCATTCTATTATTGAACGTTGAATGCATACCAGCAATAATAAAATTTAAAATCTGTAAATTGAAGTAAGTAAATACTAATAGATTTTTTATTTTCAAATTAATACAGTATATTGTTTTTAGGAATAGATCTCGAGCTAAATTGATGTGCAAAATTGTGTAAACCTTACGAGCAGCTTGTGAAATTTTAAACAAAAAGTGCAGTGTGAGGAAACCCTTTGGTTGGAACATATTATTAAAAATATTAAGGGCTTTATTAAACTGATCAAACAGCTTAGGAATTTTGCAGGTACGTAACATAATCTTAATTTCAGATTCCTGTAGAGTAATATCCATTATTTCCCATTCGATTAATTTATTTAATAATGTGTGTGTGTGTGTTTATTTTTGAAGGTGAAGTTGTGCAAGTGTACGCCGGTACCCTTACGAAGGGGGTGTAACAGCTTTTGAAATGATAAGACGTCTTTACAAAGGGTGCAGTTTCTACTACGATAAGAGCTAGTTATATACAGTACACTAGCATGTTGATTATAATAGATAATTATCTTTCACTCAACGCTAGCATGCGTTGATAACTTCCTTCTTTGAACGTTTCACACATATTTTTTTTAAATTAATTGTAACCTCCGCATACCGTGGAATTCCCCTTAAATTAATTAATGTGTAAATCCTGTTTTATTTTCAAATTAAAAATACATATAGTTTATTTATTTTTCATTGGATTAATTTAAAAATAATAGGTGTCAATATATGCAAATTTATCTAGTTACGTTGTAAAATTAATATATTCACAGTAGTTAGATGTAATTGTAAGGTTGTTATGACATTGACTTAACATTTGAGTTACCGAAAGTTTACGAATACGTTCGGAATTGATCGGAAATAATAAATGAAATAAATTTAAATATTAGAAATGACGGGTATCAAAAATGACCGGTACAGCCCTCTCCACCTCCGCCGATCGTCCGCCACCCCTGTCAACTCCACCCGCCCCTCCGCCCCCGCCACCCCTGCTAGTATCGAACAAAATGAAAAATATTACAAAATATTACGAAATATTACAAAATGCAAAATTATGACTCATGCAGACTGACGCCACATTGGCGGCATGTATTTGCATATTACTTAGGTAAATAAGTTTGCGGTGACACATTGACGGCACGTATTTTTATTATTTGCATATTTAATTGCATCTACTTATTCAAATGTAATTCTCGGAATTTTCGAATTTTCCAGATCAAGTTTGTTTTGTTTATTAATTTATAACTAGTGGAAGGAAGTTTGCTATTTAAAGAGAGCAAAGCAATTATTTACTATTCTTTTAGTTAACTTTGCATCGACTACTACTACTGCAAAATATAAATTTTTAAATAAAATTCAAGTAAGTAAATCATTCAAAATATTTTTATTTTAATTAATAAATATTTTACCTCTCAACAGATGAATAAAACATTATTGGACGAGGCAAACAAACAAGCCAACATCAAGAAACTTTTGGACTTGGATATACAAAAAAAATATACAATAAATGCAGTTTCATCTAAAGATACAGTAATCGGCAGGTCTGTAATTGCTGACTTGGGCGAACATGGTTGGGTATGGATTCCCAAGAAATTTAATGATTTTTTCAATGAAGAAGCAATAGTGGAGTACAATACCAAAGCAGGCAAAACATTGTATGTAATTTTGATTGACAAAAGAACTATAATGGGAAGGGATTGTGCCATTACTGAAATTCATCCTTATTAAATACAAATAATGTGTGATTTATATTGAATAAAAATTATTTATGATTTATATTTTGTTTTATTATGTTTGTCTGCAATATCTTTAAATGAAACAAACAGGATTAGGAGGCTAGCCTACTAAAAGGGTATATAAATTAATATAATTTGGTTTTAATTTAAAAGCTCACAGTGTATGCAATGCATTGCAAAGGATCTTTTTTGAAAAGAAAACTAAAATTTAATAAAGATTTGCAAGCATTAAAAAGACAAATTAATCGATATGAGGAAAAAATTAAAATGGTTAGATTATTTGAAAAAATGCGTCTTGTAGATGGCAGCAGGTCAAATATGCCTGAAGAGGTACTACAAACAAGTGGCGAAAGACAAGAAGCTTACAACAAAATCGAAACAAGAAGCTTACAACAAAATCGAATTACACATAGAAAAATTAAAAAATGAAAAATTGGACATTGGATAGATACCCCACGACGCAGGAAATAGTACATGAATTTCTAAATAAAGCAAAACTTGAAAATTAATTAATAATTTGTTAAAAAATAAATTTCTTGAATATCAAATAATATTTTTATTTTTTACCTCACCCATTAATTGTCGAAGGATAGGTTAAATAATAAATGCATATATTATTTTAAATATTTTATTTTTTTAAATATATTTGTTAATACATTTGACTATAAGAGAAGTACTCTTCAGTAGATTGCTGTTGCTGATTTTGTTGGAACTGCTTTCCCAATAAATCAGTTGAAACATCGAAATTGTTCTCTTCAACATCCGTATCAATGTGGTGTTGCTGATTTTGTTCGGTATTAGTAAATTGTTGTTGATTTTGTTTTAACTGCTCTTCCAATAAATATTTTGAATCATCCAAGCTTGTACACCATTCTTCTTCTAACGCATACCAATCATCGAGAGGTGTTGTAGATGTAGTTAAACATTTTGCCAATTCAATAATTTCTTCAATCGTTAATGGTTTAACTGTACCAAAGCTCACATAATATACAGACATGTTGAAGTTTCTTAAATATTACTGATACTAAAGATATTTATTCAATTTTTAAGCCTATATACAAAAACTATTTTAAGAGTGGGAGGAGGCAACATTGTCGAAATACCAATGTCTTAATAAAAATACATTTTCATTAGTACAATTTAAATGATTATATAAATGTTTTTTACAATGTTGCCTATTTTTATTTTTAATTTTTAATTTTAAAATACTTGGACAATTTAAACTTTCCAAGTCTACAATATTTATGTGTGACATAATAAATGTTTTTAGCCATTCAATTTTTTGCTGTCCCTTTGCAAATATAATTTCAACATTTCTATAATTTATTTCTTTATTAAATATTTTTTTAATTTCCGAATAACAATAAACATCATTTGGGTTTGTCCATGTTGCCCATTTATGTCCGTGAATATTTTTTGTTAGAAAATCCACCTGCTTTCGAAATTGTTCCGTTAACGAAGAGTACGCAGTATCAAAATTAAAAATAAAATGTTTTGTTTCTTCATCCGTATGCTTAATTGACAATTCTTTACAAATAAACTTACTTTGTTTAAATTGGAATCCTTGAAAATCAACAAAAACAAAATTGTTCATGGTTAAGGTATTAAGGTGGTCTTGATAAAAATAAATTCAATTTCCCTAGTCTTTCTCTTATATATCGCGAATTATACCGCTAAGTGGAGTATAATATACAAGGCGATCGTGCAATATTAAGCAAAAGGCTGAAGTATTGTCTGGCATGTCTTTAGTGGTTTCGAATTCCAAGCGAACTTCTACAGTGCCGGAGTTTAGAATTTCGTTTTGTCTTGAACAATCAATTACTACTACAGGGGCAATACTTTTATATTCTTTTGGATTCAAAAGAGGCTCATTCTCGCGATCATAATATGATTGTTGAAAGTTCAAGTACATTTCATACAACATAGAATATTGATTTTTGTCATAATCAATATTTAAATTATCGTAGGGGTAAATTTCTGAATTTAAATATAATTTTATATTTTTTAAATTACAATTATCGAATAAACTGCTATTTTTATGAAAATTATTTTTTCGATCTGTTTGAAATCCTACAATAACATAACGCGGTTTTTCCAATTGCGTGGCAGATTTTACATTCCACGTATGATTTTTTGTTTTTTGCAACAAAGGATATTCTATTAATTCCCAATTTCTGAAAGCCACTTCCAATTCTCTTCCATTTTCAATAAGTTCTAGTAGTTTTAAGTTTTCAACATCAGCCACCGATATATGAGGCATTTTCCAAACAATTTTGTTAATTGTTATTTTATTTTTTTCATTGGCAGTGCTATTATAAATTGCATTATGATCAGAATTACTTCGAATTAAAATTAATTCTTGTCTTAAATTAATAATAATTTTTTTAAAATCTTCTGCAAACCCTAAAATCATATTTAAGGGTACGCATAGATTAAATTCTCCGGTTGCAATGTCGTTTACGTCCACCAAGCAATCTGGGCTTTCAATATTCCAACCGGAATTTTTTAAACGATTAACATCATTTTTATTAAATGATGTGTATCCCTTAAGGGTTGTAGTAATTCCAGGATTTCTTACACGATCCACAGTTTTTCCCGAAATTTCCAATCGAATTTCACTAAATAAATGATTAAAATAATTATTAACAAATTTTGCCGTTGTAGATACAGTGCCATTTTCTTTAAGTAATTTTCCCTCAATATAAATATAACTCATAGAAGGATGAGTAAACATTTGAGTTTGGGGTATGCAAATTCGTATTTCATCATTATTCTCGAATGCGCTAGAGTTATATGGTAGATGGGAATGTTTCTCTACATTTCTAAGAGAATTATCCGAAAAAACTCTATCATTTACGTTTAAAATACTCATAATTTTTTATTTTAAATCCTAAAGATTTGAGGTATGCGATATTAGCAGGTGTTAACTGGTTAACCGTTTGACTGACACTGACATTGATTGTTGCCGCACTTTTGTTATATTTTAAAACCATTACTGCTGAAGCTGCTGCTGAGCCTTTAAATGAGCTCTTATCGTGATGGTCTCCCCTCGGAAATTGAGCAAGTCACCATCCTGGTCGACTATTTTAAAGGTTATATTATTGATTATTTTTGTATTTATGGGTAAATAAATAACAGTTTGTGGGGACTCAACAATTTTAAATCCGGCTGCTACAGTTGGAAAGAATTCGTGTAATGTATGACCTTGTTTTCCATTGTCATACGTACCCATCGCAATATTACATAAAATTTTTATTGCGTTTACTTTCATTATGTCGACTGGTTTTTTTGAAGTATGTTTAGCATTTTTTGTAAGTTTTTCACTATGAAAACCCAATAAATCTCCAATTGAATTGCTGTTTGTAAAATCAATATCGTGAGTAGATTTTATTTCGCATTTTAGTGTATTTAAATTCGCTGTTAATGATAAAAATAAATTATCATTTTTTTTTTTATTTAAATCATTGATTTTTTCATTTAAAAAACTGTTTATGTTATCAATATCATATGTTCCTTCGGGAATTTCAATTTTATGCGAGCCAATGTAAAACATATTTTTATCTTTATAAATATTTGGAATAGCATTATATACTTCTAAACTTAAAAGGCCTATAACAAAATCATTATCAAAATCTCTTAAATCTATCGGCGGATAGAAATCAGCACTCAAAACGGATTCCGTTCCCGAAAAACTGAACGTCCTCATTGCTTAAATGCTACTATTTCACTAACGTTTACTTACAAGATTATGAATAATTATATAAAAATTGCAAACATAAATGACCACAGTTAAAAGAATTATAATTTTGAAACTGCGTATGATTGTATGTAATTTTTACGGGTTGTTGAGTTGAAGTGTAAAAATACGATACAACTTTTGTTGGCGGCATAAGATTACCAAAACTATCGTAATACAAAACGTTTTTATTTTTTTTAATGTATGCAGTCCAGTGTGTTCCATCTCCCTCACTACTATCCAAGTTTATAATTCCACATTCAAATTTTGTAATTTTATGTGGCAAATCGTCCTGCATAAACACTCCGCGAAAATTTTTAAATTTTTTGGCATATTTATTTAAATCGATATTTGTTAGAGCTCGTTTTGGTAATCTTCCTATGGAAAATTTTTTTTGGGTGTGTAGGAAGAATAGGGATTTACAAATAAACCAAGGCCTTTTTTGTACTGTTTTAATTGCAATCCCTTCCCCATAGCTATTGACTCCATTTTTTCATTATGTCGTTGTTTTTCTTTAAGATCTTCTTGTGCCGATTTTGCTTTATTAACGGCACTAGCGATTGAGCTAGCACCTCCTGCCAAAGCCCCAAGAGCACTTAACCCCGCAAATAATGGAATTAGTGGTAGAAAACCCCCGGTTTTTGGTAAAGCAATTATGCGAGCACGTTTATCTTTTTTAATACCTTTCACAGCTTTTGCAGCAATATTAATCGCGGATCTAATATCTTTGGGATTATTATTTTGAATTGCAATTTTAGCTTTTTTTAAGGCTTTATTAAATGAGAGAACTCCACCCTTCTTTACTTTCTTTTTTTTGTTTTTTTGTGATTTTTTTTTTAGTTTTAAACCCATACCTAGTTTTACTTTTGCCTTCATGGCAGTAGTAACACCTAAAGCAGCTAGTTTTTCGCCAATACCAGAATCACGAGCCAATACCCTTTCTAAAGCGCTGCTGGCCAAAATTTTATCTGCCTCGTGTCGTTTATCTAATTCCGCGTTTTGTGAATAGGCAATGTCGTGTATTTTACAAGCTTCATCCAAAGGATTTATACCCTTATCGTTTCGTGCTAATCGTTTACTAAGCTTAGTTCCGGGTCCACAGTAGTTATAAGTTGGAATGTGCAATTCAAATGGAAGCCTATCAATTAATTTGTTAACAAAGCCCCTGCCACCTTTCGTTCGAACTGGCTTTTTACGAATGGCGCTATTTTTATCGTAACACTTCATTTATACATGTACTTGCATCAAAGGCTAAAATAAGACTGATGGTTTTTTATCATTTTATTTGTAATAAATGATATTACAAATATAAAAATGTTTAGTATTACGCCATGCATTTAGTTAAACAGACCACAAGTCTTAAAATTAAAAAATTTGAAAATTCCCAGCAGCTTGAGCTACGACATGGCGCATTGTTACCTTCTACTATTCGCTGTATAATTTCAGGTCCATCTAATTGCGGTAAAACGAATGTAATGTTAAATTTACTTGAAAATATAAACGGTCTTCGTTTTGAAAATGTATATATTTTTTCCAAGTCTTTGTACCAACCGATTTATAAATATTTTAAAAATTATTCAAGCCCATAAAGGGTATTAATTATTATGAGTATAATGATAATGACAATATAATATCACCCTCAAAAGCAAAATCGAATTCTGTTTTTATTTTCGATGATGTAGCTTGTGAAAAGCAAAGCATAATAAGAGATTTTTTTGCAATGGGTAGACATAATCTTATAGACTCTTTTTATTTAACGCAAACTTATGCTCATATCCCCAAACATCTTATACGTGACAATGCAAATATGTTGATAATTTTTAAACAAGATGACATGAACCTAAGACATATTTATAAAGATCATGTTAATACTGACATGCCTTTTGATCAGTTTCATGATATGTGCTCATTATGTTGGAATGATAAATATGGTTTTCTTGTAATATGTAAAGAATTTGATATTAATAAAGGCCGCTTTAGAAAAGGATTTGATCAATACATAATTTCAAAATAACCGCTTTATAAACAGCACACTGTTTTTTTAAAAACAGTGTGCTGTTTTTTAAAAACAGTGTGCTGTTTTTAAAAACAGTGTGCTGTTTTTTAAAAACAGTGTGCTGTTTTTAAAAACAGTGTGGTTTTTTGAAATGTTTGATAATAATAATAAATATACTTGTTTCGTAAAATTAATTTAGTATTTAAAAAACCTTCTTGGCACAAACACGCATACAAATATGAAGGACAAAATATTAACCAAAAAGTTAATAAAAATTAGGAGGGATATTAAAGCTAAATTAAATGCTATTAAATCTGGCAGATTTCAAACAGAGTTCGAGTTGGAACCATTAAAACAATTAATATCAAAAGCTTCACCGCAGCCCCCGACGCAACCACAACCATCATTGGCAGATATTAAAAAAGAAGAGGCAATAAATAGCGAGTATGATGTTAAAAAAACCCATAAACCAAAAGAATTACCACCTAGTCCTATAAAAAAAAATAAAAAAAAAACGACAGCAATACCACATTTTATTAATGATGGTGAAATATTTGATAGCACCTTACAAGACGACACATTACAAGACGACACATTACAAGACAGTTATTTTTACGATGACAGTATTCGCGAACAGCAATTTGCTACCATGGATGATTACATAAATCAAGATACATCTTTTAATTTATATTTAGATCAATTTGATGAAATGCCACGTGAATATGTTAAAGGATTTATACGAGACACTGAAAATAGATTTGATACTCATTATTTAACTTACGAACCAGTTTTGGGAAAATTTCACTATGGAGATTCAGAAATGGATTTTAAAGGAAATGATATTGTCATAAAGAACAAAAATAAAAAGGAAGATAGAATATATAAGGGTACTTATGGTTTATATGAATTCTTGTTTAAAAATAATCCAAACGAAAGTTTAATGACTCCAGAAGATATAAATAATTATAGAAATATTATTTTGAGCACAAATGCACAAAAAAGAAATTTTGATGCAAATGCACAAAAAGCAGGAAATAGAGGTAATAAGTATATAAATGTAATTAAACCCCTACTGGAAGAATCAAACAAACAAACCGAAAACCAATACAGATCGAAATTAAGAGTGCCACAACCAAAACAACAACAACGTATTGGGAAAGGATTACAAATGCAATATACAAATAAATTAAAAGAATATGTGCATTGGGATGACTGTAATGAGTTAGTTGAACGATTAAGATTATTAATTAGTTCACAATTTGCGGGAAATAATAGTCATGCGAATGAAATAAACAGCATAATTGAAGAGTTAAAAGAAGCTAATATAATCGAATAGTTTGAACAAAATCAAACATTTTTAGTATGTCTGTAGACAAGTTCGGACGTGAATTGCATAATCACTTGAGCAAAAGCCATCTAAAATCTGCATATGGTTTATTAAATATTACATTAAAAAGTATTAACTACCACATCAAAGCTAAAACATTTGTTTATGATTTAAGTACTAATTATTCAGTTTATGAATTTCCTTTAAAAGAGGGAATTATAAATCACGTTAGTGCCAGTAGCAATACATTTCAAATTAAAATAAACGATCAATTGTATAAACACGACAAATTGTTGAATATTAAACTGAAATTCGGTGATAGGATTTCACTACAGTCAGATAAGCTTATTACGCATGTTTTTCTGGAAATGATTATTAAATATCCGATTTTAACAGAATGATGAAGAAAAATAAAAGTAAACCTCAATCACCTTTAATAGATTATAAACGCAAAATAGTGAGTGAATTACACGCACCAGCGAGAAAAAACTTTAAGCGGAGAAGAGTTGTTGTTCGCGGATTAAATGATTTATTTCAAGGTGACCTGGTCGAAATGATACCTTATGCAAAACAAAATAAAGGATTTAAATATATTTTGGTAGTTATTAATACATTTAGCAAATTTGTGTGGGCTTTGCCTATAAAGAATAAAACTTCAAAAGATGTAGCACAGGCAATAAAAACAATTTTGATTGAGCCAAATATTCCGAAAAACTTACAAACAGACGCGGGGAAGGAGTTTTACAACAAAGACTTTAAGAACCTTATGGATAAGTTAAAAATTAATCATTATAGTACATTTAGTACTAAAAAAGCATCTATTGTGGAACGAGTTAATCGAACAATAAAATCGTTAATGTGGAAGGAATTTAGTTATCAAGGCAATTATAAGTGGTTAGAATTATTGCCTAAAATAGTACACAAATACAATTCTACTAAACATGGAACTATCAAAATGAAACCTATTGATGTAAATGCAAAGAATGAAAAAAGTTTGTTAAAATCAACCTTTAGCAAATTAAAAATGTTCAGTCCTAATAATAAATTCAAATTAAAAGATAAAGTTCGGATAAGCAAATATCGCGAGGCATTTTCTAAAGGGTACACGCCAAACTGGTCAAATGAAATTTTTACTGTAAAACAGGTTAAATTAACAAACCCTACAACTTACATATTGGAGGATCAACATGGAAAACCTATTCTGGGAGGATTTTATGAATTCGAATTACAAAAGGCAAAGTTTCCCGATGTTCATTTGGTCGAGAAAATTTTAAGGCGAAAAGGCACAAAGGTATACGTGAAATGGTTTGGAGTAAACGAGAAGAGTTGGATCAACAAAAATGACTTAGTATAACATTATAATGTACAATTAATAAGAGACTAAATAAAAAACAATTTAGGATTTAAAGTGCTTTATTTTCTCATAGTATATCATCTAATATGCTTTTAAATAAACTGTATGTACTTCCACTTTATTTCATTAATCATAATCCATTAATCCTGCATCAACCAATTCGTCTTGAACTCCAATGCGTATGTCGTAGTCGTCATCACTATTTTCAATATTTTCACGTTCACGTATATCCTGGATCATTTGTTCCATTAAAGTTGCAATATCTTGAACAACTGGTAAAGATTGTTTAAATGGAATCCAGTCCAGTTTTAATGGTTCACGTCGTATACACAATGTTTGTTTCGATGCCCCAATCATGTTTTGATGGTACTGAAGATTTTATTTATTATTTATATTAAAACTCGATCGCCTTGAAGGTCCGGCTGGTGGACCTTGCGTGCAATTATAAAAATAGGAATTTGCAGCTGGTACGCAACAAAAACTAATAGTGACGCACATAAATAATAAAAAATTTAAATAATTGCAAGGTAACAAATACAATAAAGTCAAATAATACTATAATGTCCCCAAGGCAAAGTGTCGTGCGAATCATTTAAAAGGGATCTTTTATCGTCAAAGCAACTTAAGCCAATTTTTTGTTGCTTTACACTAAAAACATCGTGCGCGATAGACTTTATTAAATTTTGATTTATAATTTTATTAGTTTTTGAATTTAGGCATTCGAAATAGTCTTGGAAAGTTATAGAATTTTTAACAATATTGTATTTTACACCCTTCGATTTTTTAACGCATTTTTCGCCCTCAAACTTAAAAGTGTACATTTTGGAGCGCAGACCAATAAAATGTGTCATAATTTCCCCGTTAAGTTCGTCTTTCATTAAACCGGGAATTTTTTTATTTAACAAAGGGATATTCCAACGATTGTTTTTTGGATAATCGCTAGTGTCGAACATGTGAATATCTTTAAGTATAACTTCCTCATATGCGTCGTTACAGGTAAATTCATATAGCAAACTATCGGTGTCAGTGTATAATAATTTTGCGTTATCGTTATTGAACTTAGATAAAACATAATCGTGATGAAAGTCATAGACGCAAACCTTGGATATATCAAGTATTGACATACCAATATATAAAGGCTTGTTGAAGCACAAATTAGTTTTACTTAATTCAACAGCAATAATATTATCCCTAAAAATAGTCCGATTCTGAAAATTTGGACTGGCAATTAAATTTTTGGCACCATATCGACCATCCCACTTATTGACTAATTTTACTATTCTGTGTTTTCGAATATTCTCCATAGTCTTGCCAAAAACGGCATTAACCATTAATTTGAATAAATTTTTTTCGAATTCATTTTTGGACATTTTTCGCAAATTTATGTTTAAATCTATGTAGGATTTTAACCAGGGTGATTGATTAAATTTTAAAATTCGATGAATTTTGGTTAGTTTTAGTCCGTGAGATAATGCTTGCTTTAAATTTCGATAATGAATGATATACTTTGATTTGTTAGTAAGGGTGGTCATTAATTTTGATAATTTTGAATTTGGTGGTTTAACATGATCGGGGCAGAAGGGTAAATCTTTATGTAAATCGTGCAAATTTTGAGGATACTCCAAATCAACTTCCAAAATATACCCGACCGGTGATTCATCCGATACACCAAAAACATCAAAGTTATCGAGATTTTCGAGCCATTGGAACCCATCATGGGGTAAATATTGACACATAGCCCATCCGTAAAGGTTATTGACATCAAAATACATTAAATATTTAGATAATTTTGATGGATCGTACGTATCACCCATGTATTTGTTGTTTGCCTCCGCATAGCGATTGCAACACTGAGAAACACCGCCCCGAATGCCGCGCTCGATAAATAAAAGCATATCAACATCCTTTAGTATTTGCAAACGACAACCGGTGAATTTAAGCATGCAATCCCAAGTGTAACCGGGCAAAGTGTAATAATGCGCAGGATCGAGCCCATATGTTTTAAAGCAACTGTTGCGAAATTGCTCGAAAACATCGGTTAATAAGAGAATATCGGTTTTTAAATAAAGATCTGAATATTCGCCCAAATTTTGACAACCGAATTCACGCCAAACGTGATGAGCATGCGCATAATCATTTTCCGAAATATCGCAATCATTTAGTTTGTTGTAAAAGGCCGATTTTTCGGGCAAGCTAGGAAAGTCTAATTTTTCAAAAGAATCTACAAAATCGTAAGGAAAAACGCCCTTACGCTGTAAAAGTTTTAATTTGTCATCATCTAAATTTAAAAATACATGTTTTAAATTTTGAAATTCAGTCAAATAGGAAGCTAATTTGTCTAAACTAGAGGCCATAAAACGAAATGAATCGATAAAGCGGAATTTTATAAATGTTTCGTTGTCGTAAACAGTAAAGGATATATACTTTTCTTTATTTATCGGTAAGAGAGAGATTCTACTAAAATTGGTTAAATCTTTAATTATAAAATGTGAGTCGTAGCCCGTTAAATTATGAAAAACAACCGGAACCGTAAATGTATTTTTGTAATTCAGGTTGCAAACCTGATGAGCGTAGCCACGAAATTGGCCATTAAGATGATTATGATCCCGAACAATTATATCACCCTGTATAAAATGTTTATTACAAATGTGACACATAGGAGTAGCATCCTTTAAATCAACGCTATTATCCATAGGTACGTTACCTTTTAATTTTAATTCAACAAATTTTGAAACTTCCGACATTTCCTTTGCGAACCACTCTATGCAACCCAAACCACGATAGCTTTTGTAAAATGATAAAGTATCATCATAGTCACATTTAAAATAATACGCGGCGCTGAAAGCTTCATGTTGTTGATATTTGGATGTTTTTGTGAGATTTTCATTATCAGTAATCGGTAAAAGAATAGCTTCAAAGTCAGCATACATAACAAATGGTACTTTTTCCTGAAATTTTGTATTAAAAAACTCTACGAAATCTTCTTTCGGAAACGAAATTTTACACTTGTTTAATTTTTGACAATATTCTTCATGCTCAGTTAATTTAATTTGAGTCGAAAAATAATTTAGGCACCGATCGCAAATAAAAATTGTATGTCCTCGTTTTGTATGCTGACCTCCCACCAGTCTAGATAAATTTTTAATCCAAACATAATGATACTTTATTTCATTGTCGTCGGCTACGTCCAAAAATGGTTCGCAATCGGACTGTTTGGGAAAGTAAATATTTTGAATTAAAAGTAAATTAACGTGCCGAGCTAATTTATTTTGAGTAAGCCTCAAAGGTAAAGTATTATACTTGGAGCCTTTCTCCGAATCAATTAGCTCCAGCCCGTAAACATTTATGGATATAGCATTTAATTTTTCGAATTTTGAAATGTCCTTTAATTTCATGGGAAGCTCGATATTCGCGAAATTAAAAACATCTCCATAGTACGGATACGAGAAAGTTCTATCTACATGGGTATTCGCAGGAAATAGAGCCGATACTAACGACCATCCAAAACAGCCGTTATCAAAATTTTTGACATTAACACAAGCATGCTTTCTCGCGATCTGTTCAGGTAGTTTAATGTAAGACGAACCGTTTCCCACCTCGTATTTATTAATGTTGATTTCCAAATTTAAGATTTTATGCAAAGCCCACCCTGAATCCTTCTCGGCAAATTCACTCAATTTATTCAAAATTTTATCAACAACATTTTCAGAAAACCATTTTTTTAAATCAACCCCACTATCAATTACTTCATTTTTGGTATTAAAATATTTAATTTCGTTAATTATTTGGTCTCCGCTCCTTTTAATAAATTCTCCCCCAAAGCAAACGTTAACTTTTATTAGGGGAAATTGTTTTAAAATGTTGCACACCCGGGATTTAAAAAGAAAAAATGCATCGTTTAAAAAGCAATTTATGTCTATGTGCTTTAAATTAATTATAATTCCTGTGCGTAGGCGAGAGTTAAAGGCACTGTTTAAATCTTGCCACTGCACGCGGTTACTCCTTTTAATTTTACCTTTTAAACCCGCCCCCACAACATTTTTTGATTTAAGTATTGTTCTGCAATGTTTGAGCTGACCTAAATTGGTTATTAGATTACGTTGCGTACCTGTGCTATCCCTATGCCTTTTTATTAATTTGGAGAAGCATTTAATGTTTTTATTTAAATATCCCAGCCAAAGGGCCTCCTCATCTTCGCTGCACTTTGTTTCCAAAATTTTGCAAGCAGCTCTTAATGTTTGTACAATTTGGGTGCTCACTTTGGCTTGAGATGCTTCAAAATCCATCCTAAAAGAAAAATATATTAATAAAAATTAAAATATTTCGAATGATTAACTTACTTACTTACAATTTTATTTAATATATTATAAAACTATTTAAAAATTTATATTTTGCAGCAGTAGTAGTCGATGTAAAGTTAACTAAAAGAATAAAAAATAATTGCTTTGCTTTCTTTAAATAGCAAACTTCCTTTACTAGTTATAAACTAAATAAACAAAACAAACTTGATCTGGAAAATTCGAAAATTCCGAGAATTACATTTGAATAAGTAGATGCAATTAAATATGCAAATAATAAAAATACGTGCCGCCAATGTGGCGTCAGTCTTTATGAGTCATAATTTTGCATTTCGTAATATTGCGCAATATTTTATCATTTTGTAGCAGGTGACATCACATGCGTGTAAGGTTACGGGGCCCCCAATGGGTCCTCTAAGGGAAGTGCGTCTCAACGTGTGTGAGAAAAACACAGTCAGTGTGGCGCCAGAATAAATTAAAATTTTGAAATATTGTGCAATCTACACTTGAGAATTAGCCCGGCAAGTGGCGCCACCCCACTAGTCATAATTTTTCCCAGTACTTTACTTCTGCATTTGGTTGGCGGCGGCAATTTTGAATTCAACATGCCCCGCCCATCATTATTTCTGCAATTGGTTGGCGGTCGGGGCGGCCATTTTGAATTCAACATGCCCCGCCCATCATTATTTCTGCAATTGGTTGGCGGTCGGGGCGGCCATTTTGAATTTCCCGCCAATCCATACATGGTCATGGGTGCGAAACCCGGCTAGTGGCGCCACCATGCGGCCGAAATGTGAAGTAGTGGTCCAGAATCGGCTTTGCTTATCTACTTTTTGAAATTCTTCATATGCTTTACTCTGTTGGTAGGTAATTACACTGGAATAAAAAAATGCTATTTGGCGCAAAGTTCTGAGTATTTTTTCTAGTGTATTTTGATTTTATAAAATTCAAGCTTAAATTACAAACATTAACTCGCTTCAGGTACTAAACTGTTGTATTAACGGAACAAAGAAAAAGCGTAGCTGCCATTTTTTTCTAGAGAGAATAATCTTGTGTTCTTTCATAAAAAAGCAATAAATTTGAATTTTTTCGATAACGGAATTTTTTAAATTACAAGCCGTATGCGATTTGCAAGCTTTCAAATAACGCCTATGACGACGGGGGTATAGCAACGGCCTGGCGAAACCAGAATGACTATTTAAACTATTGACATTTCGCTCTCGTGCCCTAAATATGGGGCAGTACGGGACGCAATGGACATTCGCAAATAAAATCGGCGTAAGGAAACAGAGGCCTCTGCGATGCCCGGGAGCGATGAAGCAATGGGACCGGTTATACTCATACTCATATATAATAGACTAATGTATAGATAAAAATTCTGGTATCACCAGTGTTATCGACTAAGCCTAATGTTGGGATGTTGGTACTTCCACTCCTCAATTTCCAAACGTGAACATGCTATATAATAGTATATTATAAGTTTGATATATGCCATTTTAGGCACGAGCGAGCTTGCGAGCCAGTGCTTAATTAAATGAGTATCTAGAAAAGTTTATAAACCAAGTTGCATACTATACTTATTATTATCTTTAAAAAAAGCGCCATCCATAAAACAATAAAGTAACCAACTTGGGAATGTGTAATAATGTCAAATGTCAAATTTTTATGTGTAAATCGAAACGTATCCCTTGAAAATGGACCGTTTAATCCGATTAGAAGCTGTTTTTCACAGTGAAAGTTTAGAAAATGTTTTTTTGGCAGTCCACGGTGGAGTCTCCACTTGAAATTAATTTAAATATAGTTTACTACCGGCGAAAATAAAAGGTCAGTATGTATTTTTATATAATATTTTAAATATTGGCGATGAGAAACTATTTAATGCTTTTGCATTTTTGCATTAAGGTAATAATAGTATATTATGTATCAATTTTTATAAACGCCATTTTAGTTACGAGTTTTATTAGGCACGAGCGAAGCTTGCGAACGAGTGTTTAATAAAAACGAGTGTCTAGAGAAGTTTATAAAACGAGTTGCATACTATACTTTATCTACGACGAACAGAAATAAGAATTTAAAGACAATTTTATTTCATAAAATTTGACATTTAACAAATTTAACCTCACTTTTTCGCAATTTATAATAAAGCCAACTTCAGCCCGTGACTAAAATGCCCAAAAGCCACTGTTATTAACTTCAGCCCGTGACTAAAATGCCATAAAGTCACAACTCGTCAATGTAGCAGTAGATAAAATATTTTTTATATTTAGTATCATTTTAGAATAAGGGCACTTTATTTTAACGATTGTATGACATTTGACAATTGTCAAGTAACTTAAAACTAACTTTAGCCCGTGACTAAAAACCTGTTGCTAACGTCAGCCCGTGACTAAAAGGCCATGAAGCCACAACTTGTCAATGTGTATTTAATAGGTTACTTATTGTCATGTAATCATGTACGATAATGGTCGTTTTAAAGGTGGGAGTAGAAAAAATTAATTATTTATTAATTGGACTAATGGCTAAATTCTAATAAATTTTGCTTCATTCATTATACAACGTTTCAAAATGTAATATTAACTTCAAACAATCGAAAAACCTTCAACATCATGAAATTTTCATTGGATCTGACGATGTGCAGTGCACACACAAAGAGTACACTTACCCCTTTGTATCAGATACTACTTTGTACTCGGGCTCGACGCAGGAAGGCAGGCAATCGCATACTAATCCAGACTTGTCAAATCCTTTGGCATGAAGTCGGTTAACTGTCTCTGAAACGAGTAGGTATGTAACTATCAATTTTAAATGCAACATAACGAACTTTGCAAGATTAGAACCTAAATACAAAGCATTTCTTGTGTTTTAAAATAAGACGGTGATTTCAGCGGAATGGTAAAATTAATGGTGACCTGATAAAGAAAGTGGGTATCCAGATTTTTTATGGAAATTGAGTTATTTATATCGCTGGACTAGTTTCAAAAATTTTTTTTGTGTAATATTAAATAAAAACTCATATAATGAAAACAAAAAACCTAATAAGGTAAGGTAAAATAAAATGAAAGGCGATGCCCCTGTTTAGGTCCCCCTGATAATATGTCAATATAGAGTTCAAAACAGAAAAATTGCTTTGGTAATTCAAATGTGCTAAAAGTAACCTGAGATAAAAAATAAATAGTTAGTAAATTTTGAGTGCCATCTTCAAAGGGGGGTGGCTCCCTTAAATGAATTTTTGGAGATTTTTGTTGATATTTTGCTTTGTAAAATTTTTGGATAGAATTTTTATTAACAAAGGAGTCGGCTTTTAAGCCGAAAAAACAATAACATTTTCTTATTTTACTTACCAAAGTTATCCGTCAAACACTGTAGGCCCTCAATGTTGCAGTAATGTTGCTTATCTGGAATAGAATATCAATGACATCTAAAAGCTAAATAATACCTAATTCTTATGCTAAAAAAATATATTTACATTTTAAAATACTTTTGTAACAAGACAAATCCTAAGATAATTACAACGTAATACAGGCTTGTGCAAAGTAAAGTAAAAGTAAAAGTCGATTTAAAACTTTTATTAAACTTCTAAAGCAAATCCTAAATTCAATTTATTTTCGAAGCATTGAACAAAAATTTCAAATACGCAATATTTTCTAACTAATTGAAAATGTTTTCAATAAATTATGTTTTAAATGGAGGTATTATGTTTTAATTAAATCCATATTAAATACTTTTCAAAGTTATTTTTGAATTTTTTTATGGAGAAAATATTTTGTTAAAATATACAATGGAAAATGTGTACTGGTGCATTTATTTTGTATTAAAATTTTCTAAAAAATTATTTACATACAGGTAATATTGTTAATCTAAAAACAATTGTATAAAAATCGAAATTATTTGGAAATATATTCATGAATTAAACAAAGCGATTTAACAAAAACCTTTTGATCTATCCCAGGCAAAATAAATTTTTGAAACAGCCAAAAATTGTATATCAAACGTAATATATTATAGTTACTAATTGGCTATTAGGTAAATTCAATTTAGATACATTTATTGTGTATAATATATTCAATGTTAAAATATTTCTTCACCATGTAAAATATTTTTTAAATGCAATTACATAACTTTACAATTAAATAAAGGGGTCTTTATTTCTAAAATGTAATATAATTTACAATTAAATCATCGTATTTGTAGGTATTATAACTAAACAGTTTACTAAAAAGATTGTATTTCTTTAATAAGTTATATTTATATTAGCTGTTAAAAGCTATACCGCACGCAAAAATATTTAAACAAAATAAATGAAAAAAGAGAAAATTCAGAAAAAAGTTTAAAAAAGTAGCCTTTATTACTCTTAGTCCCATATACTACCCCAATGCAAAAAATCACGCTGATCCGTTTCTCCGTTGCTGTCTGAAAGGCAAACAAACAAACACTTTGCCCCATAACAAAATAACAATACAGCAACTGTAGAAATAAGAGACCAAAATATGTGTTTTTTAATTTTTAATAAAAACCAAGAGCAGAGCAATAAATGTTTGATGATATTTTTGATTATTTGTTATATTTAAAAACAACTCAATATATCAAACCCAAAATTTGTTCAGTATAGTATAAAAATAAAAAAATTGTGATATTTTTATGTTTTTTTTTATATAAAAATATCGATATTTCGAAAAATATATGGATTTATTTTGAAATATAAAATATATTTTTTTTAATTTTACTTCATCTTTTGTCTTTAAAAAACCTTTAATGTTAAACAGGTTTAGTTTGGCGTAAAAATTTTAATTTAAAATAGACCTTTTCTGTTAATAAATGGGATTCATTTGATATACGTTTAGTATTTTTATATATAAAATAATAATAATAAAATATTAAATTATACCTATTATGGTTCGTTAAATACATTTATAAATTTAAATTTAGTATTTATTTTAATAAAAATTAATACAATTTTTTTCATTAAATCTTTTATGTCAACAATGAAGCCTTAAAAAAGCCCATGGGTCTTTTCACGTCAGATCAAACAGTGCAGTTCACCACACCGACTCAGATTTCCCTCAAATGTTGTGTAGATGTGCCATTTTTTTTCTTAATTTCTTAAATAACTCCTTACCTAAGGTTATTAAAGTAAAGTAGTGGTATCATCTTTACAACATTTAAAACATGTTCCCCGGATCAAACATGTCGAAAATTTTTTTGAATATTTTTAGCAAATCCCATGCTCATGCAAAAACAATTCTGATTCTTGAAATCAATATAAAAATTTACCCCTGTTCTTCAGGAAATTTAGAAAAGAATATGACGCATCTAGCGAAAATTTTACAGCAATTGAGTTGTCGGTAATTAATTATTGTAAAACCTTCAAAATTGAGATTTATGGCTATCCTAGCTTATACAAAATCTTATAAGCTTATAAAAAATCAAAGACGTTGGGAACTTTTCCATTATTGTGTTTGATTTGACGTGGAATGACAACTATATGTTTCATATATCGATATATTTTTTAATCTGCCATCCATAGTCAGAATTAATTTGAAAAAAAAAAGATTGCAAAAATGGCGAATGCGCCGGGATATTTTATAGTGTTTTCGAAAATAACGTTAATGTACATTGTACATATTTCAGGGGCTGATTCAACACATAAAATTAAAAGAAAAAGTTGCTATAAACAGATGTCCAAACATGCCTTCTTGCTATAGGCATTTTAAACTGTTTCACAAAATCAGGTTTTTATTAATAATTTCAAAAACGGTTAGTGTTAAAATAATGATAGTTTATTTCCGCGGTAATAATCTGGTGGTATCAAATCGAATAAATAACTATATAACTATAGGCGTCCGAAACAAGGGGCTAGGTACTCGGGGAAAAAATCATCCCAACTTTTTTTTTGTGAGGTTTTGTTGAAAAATCGATACAGGAATACAATTCTCCAGATAATTTTACGTAAAAAAGCTGCACTTGTTACAAAGTCATGGAGCAAACTTTTTTCGAGAAAAACGCTATTAAAATTATCTTGACACAAAAATTTGTAAAATTTAGTTATTAAACACACTAAATGAACTACAACAATAACGTCATTTATTTCCAATTTTCAACTATTTTTATTTTTTTTAAATGCCCAAAATGACCGTCATTCTCTTCTACACTTTTTCTAAAGCTTCATCTAAATATGTCCTTACGTTCGCAGAAAAATGGGGTGGGGCGCCATCATGCATAAAAAACATCGACAATCTTAAATGGTAGGACATGTCATCAAGGAGGTTTTTGAAAAAGTTTTGGAGAAAATACTAGTATGTCACCGTTCAGTAGATTTGGTGCCCAAACGTTGTTAAAAAATCTTTACTAGTGCTTTGATTCCATAAAAGCATACACATTTTTATCAGCCCATGCATGACTATCAAGAAAATTAATAATTTCATCCCATTTTGATCTCGAACAGCGACAGAATTCTAGTCAACGTGGAAGATCTTAAGGATTTAAAGGATCGCAAATAATAGGGATATAGCAGTTGTTTATGCATTATTTCCCAAACTGTACTTTTTGAGTGGTCCTCTTGCATGGCATTTCTTCTAGTGCTTGTCTTAGAATTAGCGGCACCTACTTCCAGGACCGTTTCTTAGTTTTCCACTGAGTTGTTCTATTTCTCCTGCGATCACCTTTGTTTACTTTAAAAGTGCCAGTTTCACAAGTTTTTGATGTAAACTGGTACCCGGGAATACTTCTTGGTACAATTTTCGGGCTTCGCGACTATTACCATTGATCTTACCGTACATGTAATGCTTGTTGGCCATACCTAATTAACCATATTTGTTGTTAAATTACAGTTTGTTTTGATTTATGTAATGGCCACTTGCACCGTAAGTTTAACAGTGGTTTAATTTTTAACACAGGTTTATTTTTCATAACTGGCTTGCACCGTAAATAAATCCTTGTTTAAATACCTCTAAACTGTTAAAATAAACCCCCAATTTCGGGGGTTTAAATTACTTTAATTCACCGTCAACGATTTATAACCTCAAAAGTACTAGTCATCGGTATTTACGATCTTTTTTCCAAAGATATTATTTATTGACATCATCCAATAACCATAGTTATAGGTATAGAAGTCAGCAACTCTATAATGAGTCACTACTAAGAACCAGAAATATAATAGAAAGAGTATTTGGAATTTGGAAAAGAAGAATCGAACTCTTAACGTCAAAATATATTTGCGTCACAAATAAGTGTGAAGTTAGTTATTAGCACCAATCTTTTCCATTTTTTAGTCAAATTTCCTACATCACTTGTTAAATTTTAAACCATAGTGAAAAAATCACGGTGCAAGATTTTGGACACTAAACTCCTGTTACCTTTTAACTTGGTAGTTTATTTAACTGATCAGTTAGAGAAAACGGTGCAAGTGGCCATTAGACAAACGATTTGACAAATGTCACCACTGACAAAATAACGATATATGCGAAGCAGGCTAACTTGATGTTTCCTACTAAATCGCTTGATTTTTTTTATTTTAACGTGTAGCATCACCCTCCGAAATACATTAATGTTATTTCCGGACACCCTGTATAGGTGATTTCAGCGAAATTGCAACATTAAACCTAGCTGTAATATTTTCTAATAATTCAAGTTGTTTATATTTTTTTCTAAAAAATGCAAAAATAATACAATTTTTTTATTGTAATCCAATATTTTTAACATGGTTTTAAAACGTATTAAACCTTTTATAAAGCCTTAAAATAAAAAAAGCTATTCTGAAAAAGTGCTTAAAATAGTCAATTTTACCGCCACCCCCAAAAAACCCTATATATCGATATATTTCTTTCCATGCAGAGGGTGATTCACCTTACTGATTCATAAGAGACATAAATCTGAAATTTTGGTTGTAGCTATAGCGCGATGTGATCTATTTTTCTAAAATATTTTTAATGCGCTGTCATTTTCGTTTAAACCGGAAGTCAGGTATTATAATTATTCATAATATTTATCTGGAAAATATTTTCCATCGGCTATCTTTAGTTTAATTAATTAATTAATTTTCACATTTGCACTCACAAAAAAGTTGCAAAAATGGCGAATGCGCTGGGATTATTATATGGGCGATTTCAGCAAAATGGCAATATTAACCCTGTAATACTTTATATTATAATATTATTAAAATTAATAATATTGTAAAAAAGTATACCCTAAAATTGATCCTTATTTACAAAACTATTTAATAAGTTCTAACCAAATTTCAGAGCATTGAAAAATGGTATGTGGCCACTTACTTAACACAGGCATCAAATGGTGTGTACAATTGCACAGTTTGATATGACTGTCTGCGTGACACTGCACCACGCACGTCGAATAGCTGTAGTATTTGTGCACAATCAGTTCCGGAGGTTTTTCCCATGGAAATCTGCAGCCCCGATTTTCCACCGACAAAAACTTGACGTTCTCGTCATTTTCGATTTCTATTACCTAAAAAATAAACGCGCTCGTTATTATTCATATTGACAAAATATTTGCATGCCTGTGTAGGTATATTGAATCTCCCGGCGATGGCGACCCCAATAAAATGTTTGCGTGCGGGTGTGTTTGAAATTTGCTTTTGTATCCCGAGGGAACGCGCCAATCAATCAGGTGTGAGTGCACAAATTATGTGCGTCGTTCCAGAAACTTAATATAGTAATATTTCAAAATTATTATCGGGTTTTTTTATGTTAAATCGTTACGGTAAAAAATACTTATACGAGGTGTGTTCAGAAAAGAACGGAAATTTTTTGAAAAAAATATTTATTTATTCGTCTACATTAATATTGTCGCCTTCAAAATAGTCCCCATTATCGTGAACTTGTGCCAGCGCTTATTGCAATCCTCGAAACACTTCTTAAACTCGATCTTTGGGATAGCCTTTAGTTCTTAAGCGATGTGCTTTTAACGACGACCCTTTAAGGTACTCTTTATTTTTGGGAATAGAAAAAAGTCACACGGAGCTATGTCTAGCGAATATAGAGGCTGGGGATCATTATAGTATTGTTTTTGGCATCAAATTCACGAACAAGCAATGAAGTGTGAACAGGTGCATTATCGTAGTGAAAAGCCACGCGTTTAATACCCATAACATTAGAAAAAATTTAATGGCATGAGCCAATCGATATGCCAACATCATCAGCGACTATTGTGATTCTGCGATCGTTCATAACCATTTCTTCCACTTTTTCCACGTTTTTATCGGTTGTTGATGTGCTTTGGTGTCCGGGGCGTTCATCATCTTCAACGTCTTCACGGCCATCTTGGAAACGCTTATACCACTCGTAAACTCTTGTTTTACTTATAGCAGACTCACCTTAGGCCTTTGTTAACATTTTACACACTTTGTTACACTTTATTTGATTTTTTTCACAAAATATGATACAAATTCTTTGATCCATTTCTTTTAACGAACGAAAATCCCCGAGCTCATTCAAACACGTCTAACCTTAGCGGTTGTTACAGACAAAGTAAACAATGAAAAAAGTTTTGATCATGTTTTAGGGACATTTATAGTATACATTGTATACCAACATAATAAAGAAAATTTTATGACAACCGGACTCTCTGAACCTGCGAAATTTAATAATTCCCCTTATTTTCAGAACACACCTCGTATATTGACAATTTCCAATATATATATATATATATATATATATATATATATATATAGCACGGTTTAAAGTGGAAACAAGACACAGCAATAATATATTCTTAACTTACATTTATAGAAATATTGTTTGTTTCCCCAAGCATAACGTCTTTTCTTTGATCTGGATTTAAATTTATAAAGGGCACGTCTTCTGGAGCATGAAAATATACCTACAAATAAGTACATAAATCGCTTGGACGGTCGTTGATATTCGAATATAACTGGCCTTAATAAAAGTTCAAATAATTGGGTTTATTCTCTCAATACTTAATTATGTTATAAGGCCATGAAGTAGGTCTTTTTGTGCTGAGCTCAGAGTTTGAATTGACAAAGCACAAAAAGTTTTTCAGCATTTAATGTCAATTTTATTTATTAAACGATACCTACATGAAACGAACAATTATTAAAATCTTAAATCTCGAATTTTATGATTGGATACAAGGGGCGGGAAAGCCGATTGGTCCAAATCACAGTAAATAATGAAATCGGCCAATCACTGGCCCCTAATTATACTGGTTGACAGCCAAAATGTACATTTTTTGTACTATTTTTTATAATGCTGAACTTAAAAATCACAATATTTTTTTAAGGTTTATATCCCTAAGAATCCATTAATTCCATTAAAACTTTTTTTTAAATCTTGGTAACCAAAGTGAGGACATGGTGAAAGATTTCACCAAGAAATGAATTCCATTAAGCCGCGCTATCAGAGATTATTAAATAAACAAATGGTTGGAAATGATATTTGTATCCTCAAAGAAAATCATATATCGAAAAAAACACGAGACTATCAAAAGATAGAACTATTTCTTATAAACTGCTATTATAAAGATACATTAAAAATTAATGAACTCAATTTTAAAGGGTTTTTCAATAAGAGTGATGGATCTTTCACAAAAGGTAACGACTTCGTTTTACTTTTAGATTAAAGAACATATGATATTATGTATGAAAAATAACATATGGCAAATGGCCTTCGCAGCATTGATGTGTTGCGTCAATTCGTGAAGCCCAATTTTGGATTCCTTTCTGGCAGAGAACGGGTTGTATTTATCCAATGAAGTGTCGGATATTATCTCTGGGGGGAATAGTTCGAGGCTTATTTGCATACACCAGACTCTTCACATACCCCCAAAGAAAGTAATCCAAAGGAGTAAGATCACATAATCTCGCTGGCCAATTGATATAACCGTTAAGTGAAATTACAGACCCAGAAAATTTTTCTCTTATCAGTGTTTCACGTACTGTATGTCACCATCCTGTTGGAAAAACATGTTTTTCAGATACCTACATCTCTTCCAATCGAGGCCAAAAGAAATCCCGTATCATCGTTCGGTACCTTTCTCAGTTGACCGTCAGCCTTGCTCATCTTTAAAGAAATAACGACCGATGACGGCGCTAGACTAAAATCCACAACAGACATTTTTTTTTTGCATGCAGTTGACGCTCTTCGATCTCTTGTGAGTTTGCTTTACCCCAAATCCGACCGTTCTGCTTATTAACGAAGCCGTTTAACCAAAAATGAGCCTCATCGCTAAAGTTATTTTCTGGCCGAATTCAGGGTCTTCTTCCAAATGCTCTAGAGCCCAATTAGCTAAACGTCGACGCAAAAGATGATTGTTTGGCTTGAGCTCTTGGGTCAACTGGATCTCATAGGGGTTTAATCCCAAGTCTGCTCAAGATTCACCAAACTGAGAACTGATAATGGCCCAGTTCTTGCGAACGTCGGAGAATTGAGAGTTTAGAATTCTCATGCACACTTTCTCTAACAGCAGCAACATTCTCAACAGACCGGGCGCTAAGAGATTCGTAACAGAGCCTTTGTCATAATTCGTCAAATGGTGGCTTCTGTTGGTCAATGATGAATATCATAAAATTCGCGTAAGGCAAGAAACGTTTGTCGCGGGGAACAATTATTTTAATAATAAATTTGTATTTTCTTCTTCATTATAAAATGAAGTGTTAATGGGTAAATCATTATCTGACATAACACAAAAACAGAAACAGTATCGTCAACCTAAGAAAATATAAAATAGAAAATATTGGTAACAGCGACATTACACTGTGAAATTCAAAATTTGAACTTTATTAACTAATAAATAAACAACAAAAAACTATTTCCTCAAAATTTATTTTTACTACAAGATACGCTAAGGTAAAATTATTATTATTCATTCTTGGACAAAAGGAAAATGTTGCATTGTTGTTTCTTTTAATTAATTTCTTTTAGTATTCGAGCCCATAGGCATTGCATTTAAACTAGTCAATTGATTGGGCATTAGGTTTAATTTGACCTTTTGCAACCAGATTGGCCGTTTTTAACTTCAGATATGACCCAAACTGTAAAGCTACCATCGAAAAACCAATAAAAAAATCAAATCTCAAAAACTTTAATTTTAACTTAATAATGTAAAAAACCACCCTCCGCCAAACCTGGACATAAAAAATTTGTTGTGATTTTCGAGTTTAGCTGGCCAAAAATAGTGGGAAATTTATTTTTTATTAAAGTGCAAAGCAGTCTTGCCAGCCTATGCCATAATCAATTACTTCACTGTCGAGTGTTGACGACAATAAAGTTTAATTTATAGACCTCTTAAAGATAAAAGTTATTATCTACTTTTTGCATCGTTTAAAAATTCATGATCGAAATACAGTTTTAAAAAACGTTCCCTTATTTAATTTAAAAATTCATTAACTCGGAACTATCTAAAAGCTTAGAAAACGTTTTCCAATGTAACGTCATCCTTTTTCTTATTACGTGCTTTGAAATCGAGGTGTTCCTATTTAAATCACTGAGTGAAAATGAATTTCTGAACACGCTTTTACTTACACTATCGTCTGAATAAGCTGATAGGGTAAATTGATTAAAATGAGAAATTGCATTTTAACTACCTAGTTAAGAACTTTGTTTGATTTTATTTTATTTATTTCATTAATCGCTACAAGATAATAAAAATTTCGCTATTAAAAAAAGGTTACATAAATACAAGGGGAAGTCAATGAGTCATTACAAACCATGGAAAACCACATTATTTTAAGGATTCATATTTATTTTTCAACATAGATCAATACAGCAGGCTAGGGTCAATCCATATGAAGTTAAACAATGTAATGGTGGTGGCTGACAAAAAAAATTGTTGTAGTTTTTTACTCAGAGAGTAAAAAACAGGTAATTTTTTAGATGTTCAGTTTTTATGTTAGCGGTCACTTTATATTGGTGCCTCGCACCGACATTTCTTAAATAGTTTAGGTTTTTGGGGCCAAGGAATCGGAATTTTGGGTCAAATTTTACATAAACAAAATGGCTGACCTAAATGATTAACTGAATTTGTCAAAATTGACAAAAATTAATGCTTGTAAGTTTTCTGAGTGAAAAAAATTATTTGACATTAAAGTTTCCGAAACAAGCCATCTTGATTTAAATGTTGTAGAATTTTTTTTATGAAATCAAACTGTAAAGACGAACAAAGTAGGATATATATACATATGTATGTATGGATGGATTATTTGTACGCAGAGTTTTTAAATGCAATGATATTTCATTGCTGCTAATGAGTAATGAAATTAATTTACAGTACTCATTTTTTTTCGTTTAATGGAGAATTACTTGTAACTACATTTCTCATTTTCAATTTTTAATGAGTAATGTAGGAATTTACATTACATTTTTTATTTTAATGAGTAATGTGGATTTATTATATAAAATAAAAAATGAGTATTTCGTTGCTCATTTTTAAAAGGTACGGAAATTATTTTTTGTTGTAGATAACATTTGTTTTTTATTTTTCGCACGAATTGCATTGGATATTGAAATTTTTTTTTTGATAATTCAAAAGGACCTAGGTATTTACAATAAATTTACTTTCCATATTTTTAGTAAATTTTTAAATTCCTAAGTTGATTGGAGAAAAAACTTTTCACCATGCGCTGTTTTGGTTTTGCAGAGCCAAAAGGGCCTATAATTTTTTTTCGATTCTTATAGGCTTGTAGATCATGACCACGTTAATCTTTAATGACAAGTTCTTATACACCCTTATGATTTTTGAGATAGGGGCTGTATACAATCGGTGTCCTTGAATTCAAGTACACTGTAGGTAAATTTTTAACTTTTGAAATATCACAGCTAAACGCTCGGACACGTAAACATAATTGTTGGTCGTAGATTCCAAATCCGTGCTCGGTTTAGCTGCATCACGTCTAAAAAGTTTTTCCTATTGGTCCGATCCGATCCGATCCGGAGACACACTGTATATACAGTGTATATACTGGTATATTATAATTTGTTAAATAATATAGTTTACCTCTTGTGCCAATATTCCTATGCTTTTTATTTTATTTAATAAAATTTCCTCAATTATATTCAATAAAACAAAATCAGCACAAAAACAACAAATCTAAGAAAAACGCTCAGGGACGCGTGTTCCTTTTGATCAATTAACTTATTTTCTCGATTTTTATGTAAGAATGTCATATTCTCGCTCGCAAAATCGTTGAAGAATGAAGCTCATTCTTAAACGATTTTTGGTAACATTTAGTTTTTAAGTATTGGTACCCCCAAAATGTCAAACTGATTAATAACCTCAAATTCATTACTTTTATTGAAAATGAAGCCTTTATTATTGTTTTGTAATATAAAGTTTGCTCCAACAATGCATTTTAATGCAAAATTTTAAGTTTAATGTGTAAAAGTGCAGTTCAGGTTGTACTTGTGCAGGATAACAAATATTGTCATTTTGTGTTGCCAACTGACATTTTGCGAGAAAAATCCCCTAACTAACAACGACCACAAAACAATTAAAAAAACCTAAATAAAAGTTAAAATCGAGAAAATAGTATAAATCACACGTTGCAGAAGGCTATTCTCGCACTCATTCGTTCGTCCACTCGCTCCTTCGTCGCTCGAGGCCAAATTTCGAATTCGTGCGAGAATATGTGGCCTTCTGCAACTTTTACTTTAATATACTATTTTTTTAATTTGGAACTGATGTGTGGGTTCAGCCAAATTAATTTTTTTTAAATTTGTACAGGGTGTTTAAATTTATACAGGGTGTTTCCAATATCTTTGAATTTTGACCTGATACAGCTAAACCAAGCATAGATTTGTAATCTACGACCAAAAATTAAGTTTACGTGTCCGAGCGTTTAGCTGTGATATTTTCACCTCCCTACAGTGTTATTATTTGAATAATAATCAAAAAGTCACAGTACACTGTAAAAAAATTTCATATATATATATATTTCATATATCGATATATTTCTCATAGTTTTGGCCAGCCTGGTTTTGGCTTAAACATTTTTAATTACAAAAAATGTTTTTTTTTATTTTAGTTTATTTTAAATTAAGTAAACTAACAAAAAATATTGTACATTTTATGCTCTTTGTCTTTAAAAACTAAGAAGCAACAAATTTTAACGCAACCCTCTGTAAAATGCAAAATAGGCTGACGCACCAATACAAAATGACCGTGCACAAAAAACTGAAAATCCAAAAAATAAATGAATACCTCAAATTAAATTGGGTGATCCGCTAGGGTTTTTAAACTTTTTTTTTCTGTCAAAGAAAATAGTCATTTTTTTCTGGTAAGCCACTTGTTTATGCTCGAATACAGGAAAAAGTTAATAGGGGACAAATCTAGTGAAAGTGGATGATACAACAATTTCAAGCCATTTTTGCCATCAACTGTGTATGGTCATTATTACGTTTATTTTCCAATACGTGGCAAAATATTTTCATAATAAATTTATGTACAAAATTAAAACCAGTGAGCCATGGCCTCAACAAGTTTATGAACTTTAATTACTTCACATCTTAAAGTTTAAATGAAAGTCCCAAACAATGTGTAAAAATAAACTTAATCTAACTGGTATTTGTTTTATATCGGTGTTTTGACTTGCAATAAAAGTGTTTAACAATAAATGAAACTCTTTTTTATTGCTTAAATCGACTGTAAAAATGCAGCAACCTACTGACACCATTTTTTTATACTTTGTAATGACTTATTGACCTTCCCTCGCAATTACAAAAAATACCCTCATATCCTCAATGGATTTAATAAATATTTGACCAGGCCCAGTTACTCTATTCGACATCAAATCCATTTCCGAATTAGCACTTTTCCTAAAACAAACACTAAAACATAAAACAATGAACGTCAAAATCCGACATACGTACTCAGTATGTAAAGAATTAAATGAAAAGCAAATTCCGTATTCAGTTTCTAGAGGCAAAAACTTTTCACAACACTCAAATGGTTTATCATTCCACATGCAAGCGAGCATTAGTTGGGAGCATTTTTTTCTTAGCTACAAAATAAAGCTTGTTAGCTATAACCAGCTAGGAAAATTCCCTGCGAAGTTCATAATTTAATTTTGGTTTAATGGTAAATAGAGAGCATGTTAGGAATAATTTACACAGGCTTATAA